AGGTAGATGGTAGATTAATAATATTGTGTCATAAGAAACGTTGACCTGAGCACCCATGTAACCCAGCAAGGAAGAGGGCCCACCCTTGTACATATGTAACTTATTTTCTGTAATGGTTTGGTTTAATCACAATCACTTCATAAGTGTGTAATTATGCATACTTTTACATTGTGAAGCATTATGATAATTTAGTATATATTGTACTTTCACTGCCTTGTTAATGTACAGGCAAATATTATAGTTAAATAGCCATGCTCTTAGGTGCAGAAAAACATGCACAATGGATGAAATTAAGATGATAAAAGATAATTAAGGTGTCTGTTTAGGCAGACACAAGGACCTGGCTTTGATCCCCGGCATGCCGTGCCGGCCCTGCCCCTGGGGTGTACTGAGCCAGCCATTGAGACTGAGCATGGTGGCACGCACCTGTAATCCCAGCTCTTGGGAGGCTGAACACGGAAGGGTCAGTACAAGTCTGAGAGTCTGATCTGTGTAGTGAGACCCTATAGACCCTGTACTAAAAACATTTTTAAAAAATGATAAAAGGAAAGAGGAGAAAATTTCTAAGAGCTTTCCAAATGTGTTAAAGCACTGGCTGTGCTAACCACAGAATTTTTAAATATTGACCTGCAGAATCATTGTTTCTAGATGCAAATTTTCCCTTTTAATATGACCTAAAGCTCTTGAAAGCCATTTTACTGTCCCTTCATGTGAATGGGTGCTGAGTCTAACAGCGCTCACTGCATTTTGGTGAAAGACCACAGTGATGTGCATGAGTCAGAAGCCAATCCTGCCACCTGAGGCTGTTCTAAGTGTTGATGTACCCTTCATTTTCAGGTTAGGAGTATGGGTCCAATCTGGTGGAGAGAGTAGGGCAGGGCACCTCGCTGCATGACTCTCCTAGAAGATTAGTGGAAACCTATGTGCACCTGATGCTGTCTAGGCTGTTAAGGGGGCCCCATTGAACAGAGGGAGTTACGATGACTACTGCAGCTTTGGAGGCATTTTGGTTGGGAGTACAGAGAATATGCTCATTCTGCCACTTATTTACTGTGAAAAATCAGACTAAAAGGATAAATATCCCCTCTGAAATGTCATTTCCTCATTGACAAAATTAATAGGATTGTTTTGAAGATTTCACATGATAACATGTGAAACATGGATAGATTCTGAAATTAGCACATGCTTTTGCATTAGTAAATGGAAAAAGAGTGGAAACTCCATTGAGAATGAGAATTGTTCCTCTTTGTGACTACAGAACAGAGCTAAGGACCTGAAATTCATGATGCAGTCACTCACAAAGTGGAGTGGTAAGGAAGTTTAGCTATGAGGCCTCAGCTTTAGTTTTAAGGTTGAATTCTGCTTCTAACTTTTACTAGTTGGGCACTTTGCTCCGTTTCTTTCTCTCAGATTCCTCATCTTCAAGTAATAGTAATAATAGAGTACATTCAGTTGGGCTGCAGTAGAGAGTAATTTGAAATAATGACTGTGACATAATGAGCTCTCAGTAACTGTAATCGGACTCATCCACTTCTTTACAGTAAGACCAGAGAAGAATGGATCTGTACTACTTTGTACCCAAAGAAGATAATGTATTATACTGTTAGAATATCAAATTGTAAACTTTTCTTTGAACAATACTTGATTAGGATATACAGTTGCCTCTTATGGGCCCAATTTATCATTGGTTTTATGCTCATAGTGCCCATCCCTTATAATTTACATTCATAAACTAACATATGCAAATTAAACATCTGAAGCAGATATGTAAATTACCTCTATGGTAAATCATAATCTTTTGCTTTGTCAGTTGATAGAAGGATAGAAACCATAATGACAAGAGTATCATCTGTTTAAAATAGGACCACAGTAATTCACTTAATACTTCATTCAATATAAAATGTCACTGGAAGGGATTACTGGTCAATCCACTGTAGAATGGTTGCTCACTCCCACTCTATTAAATTTTATTACAAGTTTTTTTTTTTAAGTTTAGCAAATTAATGTGGATAAAAGTTGGAAAAGAGAAACTAACTTTGAAACATCAAGAACAGTGACAGTATTTTTTAATTGTAGAATCAAGGAATAACAGACCGGGGCCAGATAATGGCAATTTTAATTTTAATTTTCACTTTTGAGCAGTGCCAAATGCTAGTAAAAGCTAAAATGAGCGACACTTAAGAAAAGAAAAATCTTTCCCCTTGAATGTCTTTAAAATCTATAATAATAATATAATAATATAAAGCGCATCTGGGCATTGCCTTCTGCTGCAGTTCTCGCCTGGCTCTCATCCAAAGCTGTCAGGCTACTCTGAGTGCTGATGATTCATATCCCGGCACTCTTTTATCTGAACATTGCAGTGTCTTTTCTTTGTACTTTGGCAGTGATGTTACCTTGATGTTCAAAAATCTTTTAAAAGCAACATAGTCTTTCTCTGCATCTTGACAAATCATTGTCTGCTAGTAATGAAGAAAAAGCCAGCTCATGATCATGAGCATTGTAAAAATAAAGAAATAAATATGTGTGGGGCTTTTTTTTGTTTGTTTTTTATAGATGCTTATGTATTTTGTATCTGTTAAGTGAATATCCTGATAACGCCTCCTTACTTCTTTTACACAATTCAGCGTGCATTTACATTCACAGGCTGCTTTTCAGATGATTCTGCATCTGAGGCTTGAAGCAGCCTCGTGAGAGTATCAAGGCCGGTTCTCATTAGTATTCTACCTTATTTGTAAGGAAACTGAGGCTCAGGATGATTTATGACCAATCCAGTCAACCACAGATCTCCTCACTCAAAATGAATGGTTCCTCCAGTTTTTTACAATTTTGGCTTTTAGCAGGGAATGTCAGTTTGCTCAATGAATGTTTAGTATCTGGAGGAAAAGTGCTATATTTTTCTGGGAGTAAACCTTGGTCCTAAGCTGCTGGAGTTCTTTGTGATGTTTGAACGCTACATTTGAAAGAGAACATAGGAGGAAAGTGGAGGACATACGGAGGGCCCAGAATGTTGAAGATCCTGGGAAGTAACCCTCAGATCGGGATTTTCCTATCTGGAGAAAAGAACAATACAGAAAGACATGGCTGACATCTCCAAATGACTCGTGGTCATTAACTTGTGGAAGATGAATTAGGTTTTCTCTTAGCAACTCCAGGCAACAGTAGTAGGATCAGTAGGTAGAAATTACACAAAAGCAGATTTATGTTCAATATAAGAAACTTTCTACCATGTAAGAGACGTCCACGAATGGAATAGACTAGCTCACTACCACTGGGAAATATACATGCTGAGACGGCCTAACTTACACAACTTTATGAGTGCTGTATTTTAGCAGTGACAAAGTTTTATGATGAACCTTTTCTGAGCACTCAGGGAAGAATTTCCTCACTAGCTAAAAGCAAAGGGGTTTTGTAGGCTTTGCCACTGTGATTGTAGACCGAGAGAATTGTGTAGTAACAATTATTACACCAAACATCACAGGGTCTTGTGAAACAAAGAAAGATATTAGTTAAAGAAGGTAAGGAAAAATTTTTGTCAGATTAGAATTAAAGTGGACAGCTAGAAATGTTGTCATCATTGTGGTAGCAGTGTGTGTGTGTGTGTGTGTGTGTGTGTGTGTGTGTGTGTGCATTTTAATTTCCAGGAAGAATTTGCCATGGTATTTGTTCTTATCTGGCTTATTACTTTTACTTCTTACCAGTCCAGACCTCCACCAACCAATAATATGAAACAAAAGAGGAAACTCTTTCAGTAGATGGTTTCCATTTTCTCAGTATGCAAAAGGACGGAGCAGCCACACGGTGATAAACTAAGATGAGTGTTTGCTTTCTCCTTAGAAGTAGACCCACTAAGGGACACACTGAGCCGGGTTCTGAAGTCTTTATTCCACCTTCATTGTGTCTCAGGGTTTTTGCTTTCCTTTTCTTTTAAAATGAATAAACTCTTCTTGGAATTTTCAACTTTAAATTTTGTGGTACTAACTCAGTTGTATAGCTCTAGTTCTTTATACATTAGACTGCCGAAATTCACAGGCGTTGTGTTCCCAGAGCAAGTACACACTGCAGAAAACTGCAAATTTCAAATATGGCCAGGAAAATATCTATAAATGCTTGTTTTTTATAGTTTAAGCTCTACATATTACATGTCTCCTGCAGTTATGTAATTTAACGTACTCAGTTACTGTGTCAGTAAAGCCTTAATGCAGGGCATTTTGGTGTAATCTCAGAGTTTTAGGGCTTTAAGAAGAACAAAACCCAGAACACTGGCTATAGCTGCTTGTGGAAGAGCAAGCTGTTCTACTGGGATGCTGGTTCATCCGCAGGAGACGGGCTACAGGGTGGCAGCCAATCAGCAGCAAGGAGAACAGGATACTGCTTTCAGATTGGCTACTTTCAAGCCTCAATCGAAACAATGGCGGAGGATATTTGTGGTTTCTGTGAAATTGCAGTGATTTCCACAAACAATTATTATTTAGGTTCTAAAGAAAAATCCTTGAATAACTGCAGCCAGAAACTCTGAGGATTCTGTATTTACATAGAAACTTGAAAATGATCTCAATTATAACTGAAACAGTTCAGTAATTTGTTGTTCTTTCACTTGCTCATTCATTTGTTCAGAAATCTTTATTAAGTGAAACTTGTAGGAAAAAAAAAAACTTTTCTTCAACATAATACAATTTTAAGAATAAAGGAAATCTTGTAAATAACACATTTGTGTAGTTCTTTGTTCTGAAAGAATAGTGTAAGAATTAGGGTGAAAGTGATGTACTGCATTTGTAGGGTATTTTGAAGCAATGATAAGAGAATTCCTCTGGAAAATGACTTATTGTAGCTTGGAATTGAAGCGATAATATTTCAACTATTCCCCAAATCATAATGGTGTTCAGTGACAACTTAGACTAAATCTTTGAGCACCAGAAATTTTACAGTGTTCAACTTATGAGTTTCAAGCAAAAACTCTTTGCTCTGCCAATGAGCTCATCATCGAATCGTTTTCTCAACAGATTCCAGAGGGGTGACTACCACATCGATGTCTGTATCAATGACTACCTGGACGTTTTCTGTCCGCACTATGAGGACTCGGTCCCAGAAGATAAGACTGAGCGCTACATCCTCTACATGGTGAACTTTGATGGCTACAGTGCCTGCGACCACACTTCCAAAGGGTTCAAGAGATGGGAATGTAACCGGCCTCACTCCCCAAATGGACCGCTGAAGTTCTCTGAAAAATTCCAGCTCTTCACTCCCTTTTCCCTAGGATTTGAATTCAGGCCAGGCCGAGAGTATTTCTATATCTGTGAGTATATAGAGATTTATCATGCTATGGGGAAGCTGCAGGAACCCAGACTAATTTTTTACCCATGTTACAGAGAACTGCAGAGCTGGACTTAACGTTACAGATGTCTCCTCATAAATGTGTACATCACAATCCCTAGGTACATTAGCTGGGAATTGAGAGCACAAATTAGATTAAAGACACAGTGTCTCTCCCCTTATGAAATTGCATGTCAGCCTGTTCAGTGAACCACTGCTGACTTGTATTTCTTTTAAATGAAAATTGCCAGAACTTCTCCAAAGCTCAGGAAAAGAAAAAAAAAAATTCTGGAAAAAATTAAAGGAAATAATTAAATTTACATAGCTTAAAGTCATTGGATTTCTTATTCAGGTGTCAGCATATCCTTTCAATCATCCACAGTTTTAGTGGAGAAAGCCAAAATGCCTGCAAATGTCAGCATGCTGACAATAAATACTCTCTTTGCACCGAAGAGAAAAGACAATTATTAAGAGCAGCTGTGTCTTTAAGCATAAAGCATGTGAAGAAGTATCTAGCAAGGGTTTCGAGGGAATGGAAGGAGTGAGTTTTTCACCTGTGAGCATTGACTGTCCTTAGAGAGCACAAAATGTTTTCAGCATTAATCACAACACCATGCCCTTGTTTTTTCCCTTTTATGTACACCACCACTTCTTCAGGCATTATACTGTTATGTCCCAGAGGTAAATGCTTCTTAGGGTTCGCTGTGCATTAGAATCATCTGGGGATATCACAGTGAATATTCTGACTTGGGATCTGTGACACAGCATGAGATTCTGCACATATAGAGAGCCCCTAGGTGATTGGATGCAGAGGACCTGTGGACTATATCTTGAATAACAAAGTCCTAGGTAATCCCTCCTTTAGGTAATCTCTTGTCAGTCTGGACTCGCCTTTGGCTGGTGTCGTATGTTTCAACTACGTAGCTGTTCCTATGAACGTTCACTGTCAGCAGAAGGAGTTAAAAAGTTATTTATTCTTAAGTACATTTATTGAACATTGGATCAGAAATGTGGGGGGGTAGGAGAGGATAGTACTCCTTTTTAGGGTATAATGTTATAGTAGGGAGCAGACATAAATAGACATTGTAGAGTATAAATAGGCAGTTGATGGATAAAGATGAATGCGAGGAGCACTGGAGACTTGGGGGGAGTGATGCCTCACTTGCTTGGGAGAATCAGGAAGTACAGCTTCCTCCACCCCCACCTCTGTGTGCACAGACCCAGGGAACACCTTTCAGTCTGCTCAGCACCAACTTTTCACCCCGGCTTGCTAGACAAACGAGATAAAGAACATTCCTGTTTTTCTGACTCATTTCTCCAGCCCAAATGTTCCCACCCACGTGCTTTGCATTCACCGAGATTTCTACCTCCTCTTCTTCTCCAGAAAACAGAATTTTATACCAAGTCAGATTTTACCACCCAAAGGGCCCTCTCACTTATATTGGAATTGAATTTTAAAAGGAAATTAAACAGTACCAGTTTTATTATTTCAGGACATATTTCTGCTGTTAGTCATGAGAAAACATGTAAAAACCTTGATACTATCTCACATTCAATATGTAAAATAAGAAAAGGAATATTGAGTCCCACAGATGCAGGAAATACTGGCGTGCAGTGAATTCTCACATTCTCAGGCAGCGTGCTCTTGACTTTTCCTAGTTTCTTACTTTGTGAAAGAGTCCCATTCAGTAAATAAAGGGAAGAGAAGGTCTCCAATGGTGGACAGCGTCCTATAAATTGCCTTGCTATAATATACTATAGCAGGGTAAGAGGAGATTATTACTAGTTTTGAATTTTCTTCTGAGTTTTTTCAGCTTGAAGGACAACATAGGCATAAACGAGAAATGAATATACAGCAGTAAGATGGGCAACATACTCACCAGCTAACTAGTTGATTGCATGATTATTAAAAATTATAGAATCCGTTGAGGTTCATAAGCAAGATGCTATTATTCAAATATACCCATAGTGCTATGACTGGTTTCTCCTCATTTGTGGTTAAATTCAATATTTCACTAAAAATCATTATGTGTCTTCTATAACATTCATTTAACAGAGTCATTTAACTGTCAAGGGCTCCCGTCAAAGTAATTGTTCCAAAATGCTTCAAAATATCAAGAGCTTTTTGCTGTTCAGCTGAGTTTAACTTGAATTACTTTTTTTAAATGAAAGGTAAAATAGCACAAATTAGCAGCAAGCAATGTTCGTTTACAAGAAGCACAGTGGCCTGGTGTTCAATTAAATTGAATTTTCAACCATTTTTTTGACCCATGGAAGCATCCTTCCCTGTCTTTTCAGTAGCAAAGGGCTTCTACCTCTTTTACTGCTGACAGCAGTAGCTGCAGAGCTGATGTAGCCATCTTACAGACATTTAATGTACTGTGGTCATAATTAAACTGGAAGATTCTTAGGGGAAAATTGGCCCACCATTGAATTTTCCTCTCCTAATGTGCATGGAATGAACCAGATGATTGGGAAATGGCTTTTTTCATACTTAGCACATTATAAAAAACTCTAGGGCTGGTCTCAGGAGCAAGCTTGATGGCCCACCACGCAATTCCACCCAGTACTGTTGCTAGGGCAGGAGTACATTTCAGTGCCTCTTGGCTTTCATGTCCCTTCTAGCTTTGCCAAGGCAGAACTGAGGGGAAAGCCGCCCAGGCGTTGTCTGTTCTGCGTCAGAGTGTGAGGGGCAGGCTTCCGTGTAGTTGTCATGTGGATTGCCAAGGTTCAGATACGGCACAGATTTGTGGGTAGGGGAGAAATTTCATGAGCAGATTACCAAGATGCAGAAGGGATACATATCAGGATTCTTAACAAGTTCTACTTTATTTGTAATAAGACTTATTTTCTTTTTAGTGGCTTCATAAAATGAACGTTATGCAGTGATTCCAAGCATCCCAGATGAAGTTTCTAATTTATTTTAAAAACAAAACATCCTTCACAGTACTAAATCTTTTACTCCACCCCAAATGGCTGTATGTTGGGTATTCTTCCTCTTAGATTTTAAATAATCAGTGTCCACCATTATTGTGGACTTGGGCCATTCCGGATTATGATATTCTGCCCTTTAAGTCTATAGGAGTTATTTTGTAAGTAAAGGGCACACATTATTTTTTAAAAAATCAGTGGCATTTCTTCCAGTGATAGGTTTGCAGAACCTCCAGTTAATTAATTAAGGACATTGTCATTTATGAAGAATTCCTAAAGGAAAGAATAATTTTAGAAACTTAAAAAAATATCATTTATGAACTTTAAAAATACTTTAGAGGGCCAGCCAAATAGCTCAGCAGATTAAAGTGCCTGTTTAGGCCGATGCAGTGGCCGGGGTTCGATCCCCATTGTGCTGTTCGCCCTGACTCTGGGGCGCGCTGAGCCAGCAGTTGAGACTGGGTATGGTGGCATGTGCCTATAATCCCAGCTCTTAGGAGACTGAACACGGACAGATCACTGTGAGTCTGATCTGCACAGTGAGACTCTGTAGACCCTTCCCTAAAATACAAAAAAACAAAAACAAAAACACAAAGCACTTTAGAAATACTTTATATGCACATTAGCCATGTATCATAATGAGAAAATGGTTGGAAAAAGGGTTTTCTGCTGTTATTGTGGATAAAGTGAAATCTTGAAAATATGGGCACTATAACCTATCTTTGCAAAGTTCAGAGAAACATGAATTTTGAATGTACCCTTTTGTAAGGTAAGGAAAACTGAGTCCCAGGCTCTTTTCTTTCCCTAAGTAGTTAAACGACCATGGGTAGTAAATAATTCATTTTCTCTAGAGTCTTAACTCTCTGTGTGTAAAATAACATGTATATAACTGATGATTTCTGAAGTCTCTTAGAGCCTTAATGTCTTAACCTTATTATATTTTAATTGGAGCTCTGCAGTTTCAGGGTGAGAAATAGTGTTGATACAATGGCCCGGCCCTGCCCAGTGCCCTTTTTAGTTGGTCTCAAGAAAATCCGGTTAAAGGGAACTTTTTAAAGGAAATGCAGAGTGGAAAGCTGTGTTAGAATCATTAAACTAGTTTTCTCCCTGCCACCCTGTACATGCCACCATGACCTGCGGTCTCTACTAGCACAACAGAGATTACTGTCATTACTACCTCCACAACGTGTGTCACCACTGGGTCAAAACCCTCCTGTGGTTTTATTTATTATCAACACCAAAGTCCAGTCTCTACCCCGACCAGTAAGCTCCTCCCTGGCTGTGTTCCTCTCCTCCTACCCTCATCTCTGATTCCTCTCACAGGTTGCCTCCCTTGCTGACCCTCTGCTCCAGCCACCCTGCCTCCTTCCTACTGCTTGTATCCATCAGCACAGTTCTAATCAGGGCTCTGCAGCTTAGCGTCCCCTACCTGAAATTCCTTCTGCCCCGGACATCCATGTCCCTTGTCTTATCCCTCATTTTCCTTAGAAAGAGGCTAAAAAATATGTTCTGACATTCCAGTGTAAAAATCACATCACCTTCATTCCTTACACTCTTACACTCCTTTTCCTCTGTTACTTATCAGCCTTGGCATTGCATGGAGTCGGGCATTCGCTGCTGGTTGTGCTGTATACCATCTGTTATATTATTTGGCACATAGTAGACATTCAATAAATAAGGCTAATCAGTGTTTACTTAGCACTTAATCTGCTTAAGGCACCATTCTAAGTATTCTTCAATTCTTGGAAACAGCACAGTGAGATGAAAAATTTTCTCTTTTTTACAGGTGAAAAAAAACGAGGCACAAATTTAGGTAACTTGTAAAAAGGTCATGTAGATAATAAGTAGATGACCTGAGAGGAAATTTAAGTCAGTTAACTGATTAAAAGAAATGAAAACATATATAAGTCCCAAGTCAGAATGAAAAATGTCTTGTATAAAAATAGAAATATGTAACACTCACTTTGACTGTTTAGGGAATACTGTTGTATAAACTCTCCTTATCCTAAATTTGATAATGGAAAGATACATTTAAAATACATTTATGCATTT